TTAATTAATATTTTTTCATGCCATTGTTCTTTAAACTGCCATGGAAATCCTGCACAACCTAAAATCAATCACAAGTCTTTCTTTTAAACTCAAGTTCTAAAGTTCATTTATTACAACAACATATGCACTTAAAGCAGAGAACAAGAAAGGCAGAAACATTAAAAGAGATTATGAGATCCCCAACTCAAACTCAAAGTTTTACAGGAAGAGTAATGCAGCCAGGTTTACAATATAATACACAAATCTCTGTTTTATAGCTTTCTCCATAAATAAATCTGCCCTTTTCTGGCCGATTCTCCAGTCGTGCAAGAAATGTTTCGATGGGCCGACTTTCAGCCTGATCGTGCGTTGTGTAGTCTACAATGAGTGACGAGGGGCGACCAGCCTCTAAGGACCACCTCCCAATCAGGAATCGTACGGTTCGGGAAAAAATCAAACATGTTTGAAAATCAGTCGGCCGTCGTAAGGTGGTCGTGGGTGAATGGTTCAGTGGGCAAACAAGGATTCTTCTTCTTCTTCTTTCTGTAAAATCGACAGACCGTAGTAGCTAAGTTTGCTCAGCCATGTCTTTGTCCAAATATGTTGTCACCTTTTCTTTTTAGGGCTTTCAGCACAGAAATGCACAAATTGCCTAGGCAGCGCATTTCACTCTAGTGAGCTTCATATTTAACAGGAATCGTTTGGCTTCCAGATAGACAAGTCCGAGTAATGCCAACTCACTACGAAGCTGAGTCCGACCTGGTTTTTAGACGTACAGTGTGAGCAGGTACATCCATCAGAGCGTCGGGTCGCACAGTGTTAGAACAAACTCCGTGAGCGGTGAACTCACACTGTACGACGAAACCACAGGGTTTCATCGTACAGTTTGAGCTGTAGCTGTTTGCAACGAATGAAACGATTGCACAGTGTATGCCGGGTGTTCGGGCAGTTTAGCATACCCAGTCAGACCAGCATACCCGTAGTCAATACCTGTTTATCCCTCTAGTTAATCCCTTTAGTTTAAATATTTAGTTTATCCGTTTAGTTTTGTATGAAAAATTGTCAGGATTTGGTGTTGGTTTGAGGACCCAAATGCAGAGGCAAGTAGGCAGAGGTGAATTTAAGTGGGTTTAATAAGGTTCACAGGAACTGAGGCAGGAGTCAAAAAATCCAACAAAATAACAACGAACCAGAACCAAGGAGACATCAGGGGAAAAC